ACAAAAAAAATTGTACAAGGTAGAAAGTGATAAAGGCAAAGAAAGGACTGTAAGGCTCAGAAAGAGAAAGTGGTTTGTCCAAGTTCATTCAAGTGATAAGCATGTACTTTCTACTATACCACATTGCTCTACCATGCAAAAAAATAGCTTTCCTCTTCATAACCTGTTACAGAGGCAATGTCCACAGAAGAAATATGAGCTGTTAATACTTTCAGCTCCTAGTTCTTGATTTCTCTGGCTCACTTTTTTTCTGGTTGAGGTTCTGATCTACAAAAGGACAGGCAGAGATTTACTCACTTTATGCACTCAGAAATGTTTCTTATTAATTTATGGAGGAATAGGGAAAAGGTAACCCCCAGCAGGAGCAGAGAGTTTTGGTAGGAAGCAATAAGAGACAAATTTGGCAGATAAGATTAGATGTGTTTTACTTGATCCCAGAGGGCAAAGCTAGAACTAAGGGGAAGGAGCTACAACGAGACATCTTTTGACTCATTATATTGCACACCATCCTAACAATTACTTGTTAGTGGCCCCATGACCAGGAAGGGCAGAGCCATGACTAAAACCTAAGTCTCTGTACTTCTTGAGAAGATAGTGAGCTTCCTGGAGCCCTTTGGACATTGAAACAGAGGTTAGATGACCATTTCTTTTTTTTTTTTAATTTATTTTTCAATTAACAGGCATTTGTTTTCTCTCTTTCAATCTAAAAAGAAGGTAAAAACCTTGCAATAAATATGTACAGTCAGGCAATATTAATTCCCACATTTTCCACGTCTAAAAATATCTCATACTAAATCCATCATATTAGGAGGTGGACAGCCTAGGTTATCATTAGTCCTCTGGTTTCATAGTTGATCATTATATTGATTTGATCAGAGAGCTGAAGTGTTTCAAAGATGTTTACCTTTATAATGTCGTTACTATATTCATTCTCCTGGTTCTACTCACTTCATGCTGCGTCGATAAGAGTTTTTATAGGTTTTTCCAAACCCATAGCTTTTATTTCTTGTAGCTAAATAGCATTCCATTCTACTCATATATCGTAACTTGTTCAATCATTCATTACTTAGTTGATAGACACCCCCGTAGCTTCTGGTTCTTTGCTACTAGAAAAGGAACTGCTATAAATATTTTAGTACATATGGGTCCTCTTCCTCTTTCTTTGAGATACAGCCCTAAAATCATTGCTGGGACAAAGCATGCACAAAACAGCCACAACAAATGGGTTTTAGGTAGAACCTTAGCATTGCTCTATTATATATTTCTCTATTATTAGTGACTTGGAGCGTTTTTTCACATGCTTTTTGGTAGCTTGGATGGTTTACCTTTGAGAACTGTCTAGTCAAATCTTTGACCATTTATCAATTGGGAAATATCTTATTCCTATAAAGTTGAGTCAATTCCTTGTATCATTTCTCAGGGATGTATAGAATTCTGTTGTTGTTCAGCCATTTCCAACTCTTTGTGACCCCATTTGGGGTTTTCTTGGCAGAGAAATTAGGATGGTTTGCCATTTTCTTCTCCAGCTCATTTTGCAGATGAGAAAAGTGAGGTAAAGGGAGTTAAGTGACTTGCCCAGGGTCACACAGGCCAGATTTGAACTCAGGAGGATGAGTCTTTCTGACTTAAGGCCCAGGGGCGCCACTATACCACCTAGCTTAGCTGTCTTTATTATACTTTAGAACTAGATAACCTTAGCAAATCTTCACAGATAAAATCTACCCCAAGCCCTTCAGTTATTGTCCTTTGCTTTAAAACCAAGAGATACCTTAGAGGTCATCTAGCTCAAACCCTTCCTTAGCAGGGGAGAAGGAAATCCAGAGACATTAATTCACTTTCCTAAGGTCACGCAGGTAAAAAGTGCCATAGTCAGGACTCCACCCCAGCTTGTCTGCACTAGCTGTGCTCTGTGTTTGGAATATTCTCTTGCCTTATGGCCACATCTTGGAATCTCTGATTTTCTGAAGGTCTCTGCTCAAGCACCACCCTATGCTAGTCTTCCCTCATCCCTTTAGCAGCTAAAACTACTTCCTGTAAGATCCACACTGAATCTACTTTGTACCTTTGCCATCAGTGTTTGTGCTACCTTCCCCATTCGACTATGAGCCCCTTGAGGGCAGGGGCTGTTTCATTTCTGGATCCCCAGCACTTGCCTCCTAGTAGGTATTTACTACCTGTAGCCTGGCACATAGTAAGCATTTAATAAATGCTTGTGATGGATTATTCAATGTGCCTGAAAATCTAGTGCTTTTTAACCCATCTCATTACTGATGTAGGAGATTTGGCCAGGCTTCTTAGAGCAGTTATAGATCTCTTTTAGGAAGCAGATAGAACAGATCAGCAATGGAAAGCTATCAATCTGTTAGTCTTCTTCCTTGGCTGACTTCAGTTTTTTCCAGTCCTTTTTGTAGCAGTGGCTAGGATTTATGTAGCACTTTTAAGATTTGTAAAATAAGTTACAAACATCTCATTTGATCAGGAGAGAGGTGCTGTTATCTCCATTTTTTATTGTTGTTCAGCCATTTCAGTCATGCCCAACTCTTTCTGACCCCTTTTGGGGTTTCCTTGGCAAAGATACTGGAGTGGTGTGCTATTTCCTTCTCCACTTCATTTTACAGAGAAGGAAACTGAGGCAAACAGGTTTAAGTGACTTGCCCAGGGTCACACAGCGAGTGTCTGAGGCCACATTTGAACTCAGGTCTTCTTGACTTTAGAGCTGGAGCTCTATCCACCATGCCACCTAGCTGCCCATCTCCGTTCTACAGATGAAGAAACTGAGGCTGAGAGAGATTAAGTGACTTGCCCTGGGTCACAGTGAAGATAGAACCTGAGGCTAGATTACAACTCTGGTCTTTCTGACTGCAAGTTCGGCACTTGAAACCTAGCTGAATCCTGCCTCCACTTTTTTTTTACTCTTGCACCCACCCAAGTGGCTACGTCAACCGAGGCACCAGGGACAGCATCGACCTCATCTTCTCTTCACCCAGATCCCAAATACTACTGCTTCCTGTTAGAAACCAACCACACAGTCAAGACCTGCTTTGAAGCCAAGCGATAACACCACTCAGCAGCTGTGTGGCCTTAGGCAGAGCTTCAATTCTCCTCCAGCTTGTTTCATCTGTAAAAGAAGGATGAATCTCATACTATCCGTGGGGCTGTTATAAGGAGAGATCTTAATAAATTTTGGTGAGCTATACAATCTGAGCAATGACTTTAATATTCTTCCAGTGGCCTTGATGGAAGGGAAGCCCCGCTTTCAAGGCAGAGCCTTAAGCCAGACATCTCAGAGCTAAGTGGACGTGCGGGAGAAGGTCAGGACTCGGCTCAGTGCCCCATCCCTGGCACTCCAGGCAGTTTACCTTCTCCAAATACTAGATTTGGGAATATCAATTGTAACCAGTTTACTATTAGTTCTCTTTTATCACTGCTCTTAACATAGGAGCCTTAAATCACACGAATCTTTGTCCCAGGAACACTCTCACGGCCAAAGCCCCTCAGAATTCAAGCCTCTTCCTTCTTCACATCAAAATGTCTCATGGAAGGAAAGGTTTTTAGCCCACCTCCCTGCAGGCCTCACTCCTTGCGTGGGCTGACACCATCTCTCCTATTAAATTTCCAGATCACCTCACAGGGCTGTAAGGAAAGCATCTTGTACACCAGAATGCATCAAATAAATGTGAATCACTTAGTTTGGATTTCTGTTCAAATTGAACAATCATTAAGCACCCACTCCATGTAAGGCGAATACAAGATCAAATAACCCTGCTCCAAAGTGGTTTTGAATTTAATGAGGTAGAATAAGTTTTAGAAGTAATCACAATACAGTGTGAGTATCCAGGAGGGGGCCCAAGCAAAACATTGAGAAATTTGAAGGTACAGGCAGATTTCAGGGATGTAGAAGAGAGGAGGGTGAAGGAGATGGCCTAAGGTGGGCCTTGAAGGGAGGAATTGGAATGGTCAGAAATTGGAAGGGCGTCAGAGAGGCTGTGCAGGCCAACTCCAGGATAGGGCTTTCAGAAAGATTGATTCAACCAGATCTTGAAGGACTAATTCAATTCAATGAGCCTCGAATGACAAACTTTACTTGGTAAAGGGAGCTACTGCTGGATCTTGAGAACATATAATAACTCAGGTGAGGTTGTCTAGTAGACAAAGCCCTCTTCTCACAACCTTATCAAGTAGGTGCAGAGGGACTGAAAGGAGAGGTGATAAGACCAACCTGGAGCAATACAGTGGAATGTAAGAAATACTGAATTTCCACAAGACTTGTGGCCAAATCCCAGCTCTGCCACTGACTAGTTACTGACTTTGGAGAAGTCACTTCATTTCCATTCACACCAGGCTTTACCTTAATTCATGAGGTGGTAGGAAGGAAGGACTTTGTCAAATACAAAATGCTGTGAGAAATGTAAAGTTATTTAAAAACAAAATGTTCCTCTCCTCCTCATCCTTCTTGAGAGCTATAGGGTAGAATATTCTATATTCCATGTAGTCAGATCCAGCTGATGTAATCGGCTTTGCTGAACAGCTTCCTCTCTCCTTTTAGAAAAATTAATTCCTTGCTTTATATAAGGGACATTTCTCTGGGCATGAAATGAAGGTGATATAGGAACCGTATCTTTCTCATCTTTGAACGACCCCCTGAATCCAACAGAGTAGCTCTCCGCACAGGTCAACATGTAACTTATCTAATACAGTTATTCAGCAAACACTTCCCTTCTGTAGTATAAAACATAAAGGAAGACTGAGAAATTGAAAAGACAGTTGATCCCAAATAAATAACAAAACACAACTCTTTTCCTTAAGGAGAAATTCGGGGACTACATGGGGCAGGATGTTTTAACACCTTGTCAGATATAGTCTTGGTATCACTGTTTTTGTTTAACTGTTTTGTTATAAAAGAGGGTTCAATAGAGAGGTGGGGGGTGAGAAAGTGTAATGGTATGCATATCCAGAATTGACTGATATAAAAAAGGGCATCAATAAATTTTTTCCAAGTCTTGATTTAAAAAAAAAATTTTTATTGACTCTGTACAATAATTACAGAATATCTTACAAGGGTATCATTGACTTGTACATAAACTTTAGGTGACACATTTTACATTCAGTGTGAACCTCAGCGGGAGCCTACAAATGGCCACAATACCCTCCTCTGCCTTCTGCCAAATAATTGGATCCAGAAAATAAGTGTTTTCAGCATAATTTCTGACAGTGCAAATTGCTATTATGTTTTCTTAAAATACAATGTAAAAAGGACCTATCCCCTGAACCATCTAAACTTGTCCCAAGTCCCCTGCACTGCACCAAGGGAGAGTCATTTCCTGCTTCCCAGGAAACAATATGGTGAATGGCCCCATTCTCTATTATCTGCGGCTCAGTTTTTGTGGCTTATCCCCCATTATCAAATTATTTGCATAAACAAGGCTTATTAGATCCTCAAAAATGAGAATGGCATTCTGATAGCAATAAACTCAAAGATTCCCAGAGTCCACATTTGATGCTGTGTACCTCTCAACATACTTGAAACCACATCTACCTAAAACACCCATTCAAAACGTACAGTTCAGGGGGTGGGGGCGGCTATGGCACTGTCATCTGACTCCATTAGCTCTCTCTGTTCTGAGTTTAACAAGATAAAAATGTTAGTTGACTTTTTTATCTATAAAACACCACAAGCAAACTTTCTGTTACTGAGGAAGGGTGGAAGAGGTGCCATCTTGCTGGGCAGTGATGCCTAGGCCTCTCTGCTTGTGCCCCCAGCCACAGTACTGGTCCTGAATGAAATACCTGCTGATCCAGAACCATAGGGGAAGTGTTTCTTAGCCTAGGGAGGCAAGACTTATCTTCTGGGATAGGAAGAACAGGAAGCCAACAACAAGCCTTGACTATGAATCCTAAAATTTAGATGGGGAAAGACCACAGAGATCACCAATTCCAACACCTTCATTTTATGATATATGAAACTGAATCCCATGGAAGAAGCGATTTGCTCAGGGTCACACAGGAACAGAAGTGACATTAAAACCCAGGCCTGACTCCAAATCCTTTGCTCAGAACACATGATAGAAGTCTCTAAATCTAAGCCTCAGAAAAATCAAATGGGTCCAATATAAGAAAATAAAATGTGACCAGGCCCAAGGACAAATGGCCTCTAAGCTCTTCAAAAATGGAGTAGATTTGACCCTCGTGAAGAAGGGTTGGGTTGATTAAAATCCAGGAAAGAATCTGTCAGAATGCTGGCATCAGGAGAAAAAGAATTAACTCCAGTGTGCCCTAGGATCAGAATACTGGCTTCTGAGGTGCTTTAGAACAGAGGCTGGCTACATTCCCAAGAAACAACAGAAGGAAGGTGTGTCACCAGGAGGGATGATACCCAGGCTCCCCAGAAGACAAGACAGTACCCAGGCCAAGTCAGGTGAAAAAAAACTTAGTAGAGTTTGTTTACATCGTTTTCTACAAGGACAGGCATTTACAAAAATATGACAGGGCAAAGTCCAGCTCTGGGTTGGGGGAGAGGGACATGTCAAAAGTGAAGAGGAGACATCCTGGGGCTGGGGGCAAATCTTTACAAGCTGGAAGGCTGAGGGAGGGCTGTCTCACACTCTGTCGTCACTTCCTCTGACCGTGTGTACATAAGGAAGATGGTGACAGTGGCAAAGGTGGCTGCATTGACCGGGAAGGCTCGCAGCAGGGTGGATGTGAGACCCCGGGTGAACACCCTCCAGCCTTCTACCTGATAACTCTTGCGCACACAGTCGAGAATGCCACTGTACTGCTCGACACCCCGCACGCCATCTGCCTGTAGGCGGGATTTAATCACATCCATAGGGTAGGTCGAGAGCCAGGACACAATCCCAGACATGCCACCTGCCAAAAGCAGCTTGGGCACCACAAAGTTGTCCTCAGGCTCACAGCCCAGGGAGCGGGTAAGGCAGTCATAGGTGAGGAAGTAGAAGCCAAAGCTGGGCGTCTCACGGATCAGAGTGGACACCATGCCTTTGTTAATTCCACGCAGACCCTCCTGCTGGTAGATCTTCGCCAGGCAGTCCAGGGAGTTTTTGTAGGTCCTTGTCTTCAGTTTGTACTCGCCCGTGCCTTGAAGCTGCATCCGAGTTTTGGCCAGTTCCATTGGGCAGCAGATCACACACTGGATGGCGCCTGCAGCAGACCCGGCCATGAACTGGTTCATGGGTGTGTCCTTTCCCAGGGCCCGGATTGTGTTGCCTTGGACCCCAAACACAAGGGCATTGATAAAGGTCAGGCCCATCATGGGCGACCCAATACCTTTGTACAGGCCAAATACCTAAAAGCAAAATAGAAGAGGAAAAAATAATAAATGATGGGGAATGGTGGTGGTGGTGATAAAAACTGCCTCATGAATAGAGGAAGTCATCATATGGTGGGGAAAAAAACCCAAGCGGCGCTAGATTCAGGAGAACTGAGTTCAAATCCAGCCTTAGACACATAACACTTCAGGTGTGTGACCCTGGGCAAGTCACTTAATCCCACTGCCTTGCCAGAAAACAAAACAAAACAAAAAACAAAAAATAAACCCTGTACAAAGGAAAATATTAAGCCCTATGCTAAAAATCAGAAGACTTGGGATGATGTCAGTCCCACCACCATCTCATTCACTGCCATGACCCTGGACAAGCAGCCTTCTCTTTCTGGTCCTCAGTTTTCTCATTCATAAAATAGAAATAGTAAAAAAAAAAAATACTAAGAACAAAAATCAAGGATAATTGTAAGGATTAACTAATTTAAGATATGCTGAAGAAAGCATTTATCAATATATCAATCAAATCACAGAGGTGTCAATGCCAAAAGGGATTTTATCGAGTTCAATCTTTTCATTTTTACAAACTGAGGCTCAGAGGGAGGAAAGTCACTTGGGGAGTTAGTAAAAGCGTAGGGTCTGAATTCTAATTCAGGTTTTCTGTCTGACTCCAAGCCTAATGCTCTCTGTAACCATTAACACATTGGCCCACAAAAGATAAAACAAGCTTCCCATCTCCGTATGTCTACAGTACCCCCCTAACAACTCATGACACAGATCACACTGAGTTATAGTACTGTTAAAGGACTTCAAGACAAGCCACGTTTCCAAAGTCTGGTTGACAGGGTGGTACAGTGTTAAGACCTCCAGATTAAAAGGGCCAGAGACCCCAGGTTTAAATTCCAGCTTTACAATTTCCTCTCTGTGTGACGGAGCAAGCAGCCCCACCTCTCTGGTGCTGTTTCCCGGTCTAGAAAACAAACAGGGTAAGGGATATTTACCCTGGGAAAGATGAGACCTCTGGGATACATGATTCTTATCTTGAAGTATCTGTAGGGCTGACTAGAAGAGGGATGTTTTGCCCCAGACAGCAGAAGTAAGATTACATGGAAATTGGCTTCCTTTACGCCCCAATTAAAATCCTTTTTACTTTCAGTTCCTACTTTCTGTTAATTATTTCCTATTTATCCTGTATATAGCTTGCTTTGTATATATTTGTTTGCACTTTGTCTCCTCCATTAGACTGTAAGCTCCTTGAGGGCAGGAACGATCTTTTGCCTCTTTTTATATTCCCAGTGCTTAGAGTATTTGTTGCTGTGTCATTTCTCAGTTGCATCTGACGCTTTGTGACCCTGTTTAGGGATTTTTTGGCAAAGATACTGGAATGGTTTGCCATTTCCTTCTCCAGCTTATTTTACAGATGAGGAAACTGAGGCAAACAGGGTTAAGTGTCTTGCCCACTGTTACACAGCTAATGAGTATCTTAAGGCCAAATCTGAACTCGGGAAGATGAGTCTTCCTGACTCCAGGCCCGGCATTCTATTCACTTTGCCACGTAGCTGCCTAGCACTTAGTAGGTGCTTAATAAATATTATCTTATTGAAAGTCACAGTGATTGAAAGTTACAGAGAAGTAGATTCAAGTTCCATTTAAGAAAAAGAAAAATAATGAAGTCATTTTATGATGGAATGAATGGGCTGGCTCCCTAGGAGGGATTTTGCCTTCACTAGAGGTCTTCTGAACAAAGGGGGTAGAAGAACCCTTGCTAAGGGTGTGGTAGTGGGGTTTCTCTATCCTACTGCGTTGGAAGGGTATTCCTTTGAGACCCCTTTTCAGCGTGTAAGGTGGCACCATGGACAAAGCCCTGCACCTGGAGTCAGGAAGACCTGGAGTTAAAATCCAGCCTCAGACACTTACTAGCTGTGTGACCCTAGGCAAGTCACTTCACCTTGTGCCTCAGTTTCCTCTGTATGAGCTGGAGAAGGAAATGGCAAACCAGTTCAGTAGTTTTGCAGAGAAAACCTCAAATGGGATCATGAAAGAGTCAGACATGACTGAAAGGACTGAACAAGGGGCAATATATGCCACCACCCATAGAGGTTTAAAGGGTGCTTAAGAGGCATACACAGGTAATCTGGAAAGGCTACGCCATTAGGCCTGCTCTGGAAAAAGTCAAGGGGTCTGTGCTGGTAACTCTTCAATCCGTTTCATATTTGTGTCCTGTAAATTACAGGGCACGTCCTCTTCTGCAAGCTCTCTGAGGGCAATGACTATGTCTTATTTATCTTTGTATCAAGCATTTATTTATACTTAGGCTCTTTGGTGTTACCTGCTTTACAGAAGTACATCTTGTCTTGGCACCTGGATTCATGTATTCATTTTGCGGAATTTATTCATTTTTCTTGGTGACACCTACAGTGTGCAAAGCTACAGCAACAAAGGGACATACAGGGTGTTTGTATACTTACTCAGACACTTACTAGCTATGTGACCCTGGGTAAGTCTCTTTACCTCTGTTTGCTCCATTTCCTCATCTGTAAAATGGGGATATTAGCCCCGTACTTCTCAGGGTGGTTGTGAGGATCAAATCAGATAATAATTGTAAAGGGCACAGGGCCTGGCACCTAGTAAGTGCTGTATGAATATTAGCCATTATTATTGCTGTTGTTGCTATTACTTCAGAAACTTCAAGTCTGTTAGACCATGAGAATGATGAGAAGGTACTGTCCTCTCCTCATCAACTGGTATCCAGCAGGTAATCAATGTAACAACTGTGGAGATGAGCTCCATCTCTGTTCCTGCACACAGGCCTTCTCCCGAGCATACTTTCCTCATTTCTCAAAATCCACGCCTTTCTTTAAGGCTCAACTGAGGTACTAGTGCCTCTTCCACAGCTAGCTAGTGCAGTCTGTTTCTCCCAACTACCTCATCTCTGTGTATCTCACATCTTCCATGCAAAGGTAAGCTCTTTATGAGTAGGTCTTAGCACACAGTGCTTTGTGCACAGTACGCGCTTTAAAAAAAAACAAAACTCCCAGGACCCAAGCCTTCCACCATACTGATAGAGTGGTTTGTTAAAATGAGTATCCCACTACATGAGGATTCAAGTCTATTGTTGTTGTCGATTTTTTTTTCAGTCATATCTGACTCCCATTTTGGGTTTTTTTTAGCAAAGATACTAGAGTGGTTTGCCATTTCCTTCTCCAGCTCATTTTACAGATGAGGAATCTGTGACCAACAGAGTTAAGTGACTTGCCCAGGGTCACATAGCCAGTAAATGGGACCATACTCCAGTGATTCTGCCTCTAAATCAGAGAGAACAATTCTTAGATTACCCAAATTCTAAGGGTTGTTGTAAAAGATGCCCAGTGAACCACAAAGCACTGAAGAAATGTGAATTACTATTACTTACAGTTTCTTGCTTGACAATGGACTGAAAGCAGTGGAAAGTCCCTCGGTAGAGAGGTTTCTCTACACTCTGAACCTGGAGGCGTACCTAGAACAAAAGTCTACAGTGAAAAAAAGGTTTGACAAGCCCAGGGAAACCCACACAGTTTACTTGTCCTGTGTACTTAACATCTACAGCGCTAGGGAGGCCCACATGTGGCCATCAGAGAGCAGGAAGTGGTGAGATGCACTAGGCGGGTTATTTTATAATTAAGGTAAAGAGGGTTGGTGGGGGGAACGTAAGGATGATGCACAAAACATTTCATGGGGCTTGAATGGAAAGGGAGTTAATAGGAACGCGCTCTTGGTGAAAGCATAGGCCTCCCTAGGCTTGACTGGGCCCTGGAGCAGGACTGTGTGGTTACCCCTTGAGGGGTCTAAAATCAGGTCCTGAACTGTTCACAGAACCCTTCTTGTTCTCTGAGCTGCTAAATGCTAAATTAACCCGTTAATGGATTCCCACTGTAAGGGTGAGCTGCTAATATCCACTGGATACCATTATATCACCAGAGAGGCTTAGGACAATACCTGCTCTCAGTTTATTCAACTGTCCTCATTATAAAGATCAAAATGGTGCTTCTTTTTCTTTTTTTAAAGGGAGGAGTAGAGGTTAGGAAGAGTAAATACAGTACAATTTATGCTCAACAGTTTGGGTTTGCCAGGGGTCCCTAATATAGATATCAAACTCCCACCCGAGTTAAAAAAAAACCTTATTTTTAAGGAGAGCAGTGTCAGGTCCAGACCAGACTCCACAGGGCTCAATCAGCAAGCAGCTCTCTCCAGTTAGGAGGGCAGGTTCCATGGGGCTGGCTTTAGACTTCAGATATCAGCAGCTGGGAGAAGGATGAGGTTCTCCTACAGACAATCTCTATTCTTGATATGCATTTTTTTCAAGTTGCAGAGATATGGAGAAACATTTCCTCAAAGCTTTATTTGTATGTGACTGAGATAGAGAGCACCCTGCCCCTTCCAGTAGTTCCAGAGCCAAAGAGTACTGGATTTGGAGACTGAGGGTTAAATCCTTGTGCTTTCCGGGCTTAGTTTCCTCCTTTGTAAAATGAATGAAGACTTCCATCTCTACATTCTATCATCCTTACTGGGTTGTTAGTTTTTGGGTTTTTTTTTTTAGATCATTCCTTTAATTTTCCTTGGCAAGGTCTTTCCCTGACTTATTAGCACTTGGTTCTGAAAGCAGTAAGGGAAGGCCATCTATCCTGTCTTCTGTGGAGGGACTAGAAGATACAGTGAGTCCATAGCCAGGGGAAGGATAGGTCTCTTCACCTGGCCTTTGAAGCTAAGAGCCATCCTGGAAAAACCAGAAACTCAAAAGGGGGATTACTTTTTTAGGAAGATATTACATAGTAGTGGTATATGTATGTGAGTGTATGGAAGGGCAGAGGAGATGAGGATGAATTTTTTAAAATGCTTCTTTAACTTTAAACAACAGCAAAAAAAAAAGCACAACTCTGTAGGTTAATAACTCCGTGAGAAAAGTGTGACTGCACATGTAGACAGCGCCCAGAGGAAATGCCCACTTGGCTCATACCAAACAAAGGTTAGGTTCTATAAAAATGAATGGTTCAAATGCATCTTAAGAAAGGGTCACCAGTCTGGCTGAAATTTAAAAAATAAAAGGGCTGGCTTTTACTTATGTGTTGGTTTTGAAACATAATGGGATTTTCCGTGGGGTGATTTTTTTCCTCTAACATTCAGAAAGTTATTTTAATTAAAATGCCTGTGAATGAGAACATGTTCTTTCCTAGAGACAGGGCTTAGAAACACTGCAGGAAGGAGGCTCCCAATCCCTGATCACTCTCAAACCAGGACTTTATGACAGGCTGCCTGTCTACTAGTTCAAGTTTGCTTTCAAATCAGGTAGAAAACCTCAGATATATGAAACAAACCACCCTTTATCCAAAAAGCAGTCTTGAGGTTCATTCATCCCCATCCCCACACTCCCTCCAATCCCAATGATCCCCTTCTCCTTCCAGGTCCTGATGCATCGAATTATGGTCATCCCAACTCTGGTTTAGAGGGAGAAATAGGGTCCAAGTCTCAAGCATTGGAGGAAATACAGTTTAAATGCTCTGAATAAAGGGTGCACGGAAGTCAGGTCTAGTTATATTGGTAGTGGTAATAGTGCTAATTCCTCTAGGAAATTTTTTTTGGGGGGAAGATGTGGAAAACTGGGCTGGTCAGTGGAGGTTCTAGCCAGGCTGGAGATACTGTCCCTACCCACAACCCTCCACCCCCAATTACTGGTCAGAGCTTGGGGTGCCCGGGACGAAGCACTCCAGGGGGATTTTTATGTCCATTCTTGGCACTAATCATACATTCTGGGAGAAATTCAGACTGAGAGAAACAGAAGGTTCACCTGGTCTGTACTTACTAGGTAACTCTCCAGTGATGAGGCTTATCTCTCATCTACAACAAAGTAACACTTTTGCTGTTATAATGAAGACAGCCCTGGGCTCAGAAAGTAAAGGCAGTTAAAAAGCAACAGAACAAATTTTCAACATCACATCAAACACACAGGGGTGGGGAGGGAAGGGAGGGAGTGGGAAGCAGTGCTGGGGAGGACCCCTGATCCAATCTATTATTCTAGAATTGGAAAACCAGTGGCCCCACCCTCTGGAAGCCAGACCCTGAACCCCTGGGGGGCACCATGGGAATGACAAAAGCTGAACTGTTCACATCACAAAAGGGATTTCAAGTATTTGTTGACAGATTAGCAACCAGGTGGACTGGGGAGCAACACAAAAATTTAATTAAGCCTACCTAGGCCCTAGGCTAGAATGGCAAGAAATTGAAAGAACACTGGATTTGGATTCTGGAACCTGGATTCAAATCCAGACTCTAATCCTAATGTTCAAAACATTTAATAATTCCTTTATATGTAAAACTAAGAGGTTGAATAAAGTGACCTCTAAATCCTTTTCTGGCTCTAACTGGCTATGATCTATGCTCCTATGAGCCAAAGATGAAGATAATGCCATCATAATTTTATTGTTATTGTTGTTGTTATTATTATTATTATTATTATTTAATGACCATCACAGGGAACCAAGACTTAGCCTACAAATAAAAAAGGAGGATTATATTGACTGGTCTTAAGAGTCAGGACACCAATCGATTCACCTCTCTAAGCCTCAGTTTCCTCACCTGTAAAATGGGAATGGCAATATGTACACTATCTACTCCACAGGTCCTTGGGGAGAAAAATCACTTCGTAAGCCTTAAAAACTTATTTGAAATAAGTTAGTATGTTGGTGATAAAGTACACTGGAAGGAAACTATCCAGAAAAAAAAAGTGGGGCAACCTCACTAGCATCTTGATTTAGTAAGGAAGATTTTGAAAGGAACCTTCCCCCCCCCCTTTTCTTTGTGAGGCAATTGGGGTTAAGTGAGTAGCCCAGTCACACAGCTAGTGAGTATTATGTGTCTGAGGCTGGATCTGAATTCAGGTCCTTCTGACTTCAGGGCCTGTGCTCTATCTACTGAGCCACCTAGCTGCCCCCAAACCCATTTTTTAAATAGCACTTTGCTTTGTAAGCATCTCTTTTTGAGGTGAGAAAAGCTAAATGATTTGTATGAAGTCACCTAGCTAGTAAGTGTTAAGAGCTGGATACAGGTCTCTCTCCAAACCTTTCTATACTATACTTGCTAATACTACTAACTGTTTCCCAATTTACAGAAAGTTGAAAGAACAGGAAAATTCCCCAGATTTTTTTTTTTGGGGGGGAGAATTCGTTTTGAATGACTTTTTAAAATGGGATTTAAAGAAATTGATTCTTTTCCATCCTGAAGTCTCTAACTTCAAGTTGCCTGGTTTAGTCTGAATGGAGGCTAAGCAAAGGGAGAATGCTTAGGGAGAGGTAAATACTGTATCTCCTCTTTCAGTAAGGGCCTCAGGTTATCAAAGTAAAGGCTATAATTTTCTTTAAAAACAAAAACCCTGAGACCATAAAACACATGTGAACATATCACATTCAGAATACATGAAATACTATTGAGCTTGCAAGTTCAAAACCTAGCTCTAATACTAAGCCTCAGTTTCCTTTTCTGTAAAAGGGGGAGAAAAATATTTGCACTATCTACCGTACCAGGTAGGGAAGGACGTTGGGGACTGGGAAGAAATCATTCAAAAATTCTCTTTTCTCCTCCACAGGAGAGGGGCAAGGTCGTAGGGCCATTTCCTGCTTTCTAAAAGCAGCTATCAGGGAGTCAAAGCTAATGCTAATTCAGGATCAGAAATAAGCCATTTACTTGTGGTTCCAGGATATGCAGGGTATGCCTTTCTAAGAGAATCTGAATTTATGTAATGGGATGAATATGGAGCTGCCTCTTGGCTTTGTAAAAGGCTTCCCCTTGGGTTCATTTGGGAGACACCTCACCTCCAAACATTTAATATATGATTTAACTTGCAAACAAGTTTTAGAAATCATGATTGCCTAACACAAAGTAGGCCTTGGATCAATAGGAAATACGACACTTTTTTAAGCCAAACAAAAAAACCAGCTCATGCTTTAGTTTCTTATTATTTCAGCAGAAATGAAGTAAGGAATTCTTCCTTTTAGCTTATAAGGGAACCTATTAGATACATTGTCTTCTTACCCCTAAGGCACAAGGCTTCCCCTAAGTGGGTAGTGGCTGGGAAGGGGAGGGAAGGAGTGATACAGTCAGGCAATAAGAGATATGGATTTACCTTTTAGGGGTTCGGATTGTTTTCCCCAAAGCTTCTCTTTGACCCCAGGCTGGTCAGATATTGGGGGGGTTCCGCCAGTCCACAGGGTAACCCATTTAAGTGTTTAGCCTTCTCCCCTTCTCCCCAACAACAACAACAAAAAATAAAACTTGGCTGAAACTCTATTTACAGGCTTTCATCTTCCTGAAAAGTGAGTCAAAGAATGGCATTCTCTAGTGGCCTTGGAGAGGTGCCTGGGAAACAAAGTCTAGAAAGGGCTTAACTAAGTCAGTCAGTTATTCCCAAAAGCATGTCAGAAATCTTCACAGCAACATGCACTCAGGTTTTTCCAAGTGTCCAGGCCCTCAAGACTACTTCAAACGAGAATTTATAAATGATTCGCCCCTAAACAGTTTCAGATTTAAAAAAACAAAGTCTCAATAAGATGGTTTCTCCAGGTATACACTTGACACCTCTCCATAGATACCCAGAAAGCACTTTTACACACTTCAGGTAAAAATGAAAAAAGCTGGAAAACTTCCCCTGAAATGTTATTCCCAATTTTCCCCAGTTCCCTTTTTCAGTGGGGCTGCATTGTGTGCAAATTCATTTTATAATTAAACCTGTGGAAAAAAACCTCACCTTGACAGTGTCAAAGGGATGTCCCACCAGCACACCTGCAGCACCTGAAGATTAAGAAAAATGCAAAATGTCAAGTGGATAGACACGTGACTTCCCAGCCACCCCACATTTCCAATTCCCAAGGAGGCTGAGGTTGATAAGTGGGGGTGGGGGTAGGAAAGAATCTTTGGTTGAGTCCAGTTGTGTAAGACTCATGGGGGTTGGGGGAGAAGGTTCTTGGCAAAAATACTGGAGTGTTGCTTACTATCTACTCATATGACCTTGAGCAACGTCATACACTCTCTGGGCCTCCACTGCTCCATCTGTATCACGACGGGGTTGGTTGGACTCTGGCTTCTGAGGTCCCATTCAAGGCCTTTTACTTTAACCCAGACTTCTCTGCCCAGGAACACACTCCACACATCTATGTCGTTGAGTTTTCTCCTGTGCCTAGAATGTCTTCCCTCCCTGACATGTCCCCTAGCTGTTCAATTCCAACCCATCCTTTAAAGTTGAACTCAACATTTCCTCCCTCAAGAATAAGCTTAGAGGCAGCCAGGTTGCCTCTGTGGATAGGGTGCTGGGCCTGGAGTCACAAAGTTCAAATCCAGACTCAGACATTTACTAGCTGTGTGATCCTGAGCAAGTTAACTTAATTTCCTTCTGCCCTACTTTCCTCAAATGTAAAATGGGGGTAATAAAACGCACCTACCTCGTATGGCTGTTATGAGGATGAGAAACATGAGAAAATTATACAGCACTTAGCTGGGTCTAGCACACAGCAAGTGCTATATAAATGCTTGCTCCCTTCTTTTTCAAGAAGCCTTCTCTAAATGATCTATCCAGACCTTCCCCATTTCCCTTCTGGCTTCAAAAGACACTTGGTTTTATGTACCCCATATCTACTTTATCTGTGTTAGTCAGTCTCACTCCATGAGGGCAAGGATTTAAATAGGGCATCTTCTCCAACAATTCATTTCAATGTTAAGTGCTCAATACATATTTGCTGGTTGAGGGGGCATCTTTAGGAAGGGGTCTTTGGATGAGTGAGACTGAGGTTACCATATAAGGTGGAAAAGTAAAATAGACATTTAGGAGACAAAAAGAGTAGTCCAGTTTGAATGGATGTAGAGTGAGTGATTGTGATGTGACTCTTGGTTATTTCTGAAAATCAAATCCATCCTCAAAGGACAAAGATTTGGATGTTCAAAGCATGTGCTCAGGGCTATACCTGCATTTCCCAAAGGGGAGTTTCTGAAATGCTGTAAGCAATAGTGCCCAACTTCCAAGGGGACCTGTGGCTTTGAGGGGTATGACCCATCGTAGCTGAGTGTAAAACCCAGGTCTTGAGTTCTATCAAGTGTCAAAGAGATAAGGAACCCACAAAAATCATATAATCAAGTGCCCGTGTATTATACCAAATGTTATAAAAAGATCCATTCGGAGCAGTGAAGGTCTTACAAGGAACCTCCCCCACTCCACCCCCATGACTGCTGCCTGAAGTATATAATTTTACACATATGGAAGTTCACTTTTATAATCCCTTAACATTGCATGGAGCTGCTTTGCAAATTATGTTGACGATCACATTCAACCCTACAACAGCTCCACGAGGAAGAAGAGCAGAGCATATCACTGCCACTGGGCTGATAAGAAAACTGAGGTCCATAAAAGTTGAAAAGTAATTAAGCTTAGGGCAGTTAGGTGGTGCAGTGGCTACAGCACTGGGGCCTGGAGTCAAGAAGACATCTTCCAGAGTTCAAATCTTACTTCATTTACTTAGCTGTGTGACCCTTCACAAGTCACTCAACCCTGCTGGCCTCAAGTTTCCTCATCTATAATATGAGCTGGAGAAGTAAATGGCAAACCACTCCAGTATCTTTGCCAAGAAAACCCCCGATGGTGTCATGAAGAGTCAGATACAACTGCTCAAGGACAGCAATGAAGCTTGAGGTCATCAGCTAGTTAGCTGAAGGTGACTGTGATCTTGCTACCCATGGTTTATCAACAAATCAATATGAATTTCTTAAGGGCCTCCTATGTACCAAGCACAATGCTGTGAAAAGAGGCCTCATGTAGAAAGGGATGCAAGATTGTTGCCGATCAGTCAAATATCTGCCCCTGCCACCATCAGTGAAGACATCAGCAGCACATGGCGCTGAAGCTGAGGTACCCAGACGCCTGTGTCACACACACACACACACACACACACACACACACACACACACACACACACACACACTCCTGCAATGCCTTCTCTACCTCACCCCTTTGATGGGGATCCTAATCACCCTTCAAGGCCCAATTCATGTCCCACAATCTCTTCATCAGACTCTTGATATCATGTCTGTACAACTCATGCATCTATTACCACAGATATCCTCGAACGGTCAGACCAGTCAACAAACATCTTCCAGAAAGGCAAAAACACTGCTCAAGAGACCCATTCTAATGAGGGACACGACAAGGTACATACAAGATAAACACTGTAATAAGCTGGAGACACTCATAGAGGGAAGACTCTGGCTAGCATTAGGGGGCTTGGGGAGCTCTTTGAAAAAGAAAGGATTTTAGTTGGGACCTGAAGGTAGAGGTGAAGCCTGGGGGACAGTGTGGGAACAGATGGGTCACCCTGTGGGAGGAACAGCTGGAAGGCCTGAGTCACTGGATTCTAGAGTACTTGGAACGGGGCAGAGTAAGGCATAAGAAGTCAGGAAAGGGGGGCTGCTAGGTGGCACGGTAGATAGAACACTGGCCCTGGATTCAGGAGGACCTGAGTTCAAATCTGGCCTCAGACACATAATACTTACTAGCTGTGTAACCCTGGGCAAGTCACTTAACCCCACTGCCTAGCCAAAAAAAAAAAAAAAGCCAGGAAAGGAAGGAAGGGTGGGAGGTCATGAAGGGCTATAAAAGCCTAACAGAGGATTTTGATCTGGATACAGGTAGAACAATTAAGAGGCTATTATAATAATCCAGGTATTATAATAATAGTAACAACAACCACCACTTATCTGTACTTTCAGTTTTGCAAAGTACTTTATACATTATTTCATTTAACATTAAATGACTTATCCAGGGTCATAGAGAAGCCATTACAATAGTTCAAGTATAATAATAA